ATGTCTTACTGATAACCCCTCAAACTAGTGTTTAAGGTATTTATTTGAATTTATCCCCACCTGAATGTTTTCCATTAATTTCACAACAGTAAACAACCTGGACAGGCTTGAAACTTGCTTTCTGTCCATCAAAATAAGCACCATGTCTGATTGTTTTGAGTTTTGAGTTACATTCTCTATGCTAAACTATGCTAATGCAGTTAAAAGGGCACAGCTATTTGAAAAGTCTGCACTGCAGAACAAAACATAATCAAGCCTCTAAACAGGTTTTTAATAATGTGCTAAAACATTCAGCAATACTGGTTTGATCCAGAATTACTGAATGTGGAATGCTGAAACAGTTGCAAGGTAAAATTGCAAGTGCACTTGAATTGCTCACTTTCTAGGCATCTTTGAATGTTGCTCTCTCTTGAAAAGTGAAATCTGCTGTTGAAAACGACAAGATGACCTTGCATGTGTGCATCAGCGTGTGACCTGATGATGTCTAAAATGGAGATTATTGAGAATATGAGGCATCACTTGTGGTGTGCTTTTCATGGGCAATTATGCAGTGTGCTCTAATATCACCTTCACTGGCACCTTCTTGGCGTGATGCTCTGGAACCGCAGAGGAACTGTACCACCTGGTGTGTGTACACATTCGTGTGTGCCTGCATGTGTGTGTGTATGTGTGTATATGTGCCCGATTGAGTATGCACACTGTACTCAACCTGCCCGGGGAGAGGATCCATTCTCTCATCAAATATTCACCAGCAACCACAGGCTCCCAGCTGCCTGCTGCTGTAATGCACACACATTGCTGTGTTATTTGTTGCTGATGTGTTTGCTGGAAAAAGTGCCTCGTAAAATGTCTGAAAAGTCCATTTTGAGGACAGTTTTTCAGGTTTATGCACCTCAGCTTCAAGTGTAACTGCCATCCATTGCACCTGGATAGAGCAAATCTATAACATCAGTATTATAATACTGACGGAACATAAAGCTTGTACCTCATTAAGGAAACTGCGCCATAAATCATAACTTACTTCAGATATGGAAACAAGCCCCAAATCTGTTTATTTAGAATCTCAGAGAATTGTGTAAAGGGTGCAGATAAAGATACAGAGTATAGTGCATTTGTTATAGTCATTTTCCATTGGGAGATTTAATTTCATAGCTGACTTGTGTTATGTTATCATGAAAGCTGCCAGTACAGACTGGTGCTGCAAATACAACAGCATTGGTTCATAGACAGTGTGAGAAATTAATCCAAGCAAATCCCACACTGAACATGCAAGTATAACAGATTTGCAATGGCTTTGCAATGATGGATGTTTAATTAAGTATTTATAAGAAGGCACATTTGCAAAATGAGATTGCATTTGACAATATTTTCTGGTGTAGTGGTCTCTGGAGGAGGAACTGGGTGCAAACGTAAAGCTGAGAGTTAATCAGTGATGTAGTACATTTGAGACAAATCTAATTTAATCACTTACAAAGTATGAAGGTACAACGAGACACTTTTAAGAATGTTTCCGAAAATGTCACAAAGGGTGATTAATCTTCTTAATACTTTTAATTAGATCACTCAGCTAAATCCTTACTTTTTCTGTGGAAGCAGCGTCTGTTAATACCTTGTAGTCTAAGTTGCTTAGTGCAGCTTTGAGTCAGGGGGTTTGGATGATTCAGAGTTAGTTAAAATGTTGTCTTGAGCTTTGTTTTTTCTTATCTCTTTGCTACAGAGGGGGGAAACTAGACGCTTCATCTTCATCATCATATCACAGTTGTTATCTTATTATTTGTTAATTCCTTTGACTAAGCTGTTTGTCATGTAGAGGATTATAAATGAGAAAAACAATAATTTCTGATGCGGTGGATTCATTTCATGCAATTCTGACTTGACACACATCACTTATTAGTAATTATTACTTTATAAAGAATGACCGCTAAGACAGAGACATCTTCAATGTTTTCCTTCCTTTTCTCTTTTTTATTTATAGTAATTTATTTCAAATAAATAAAGAAGACAAAATAAATAGAAACTGTCAATGTTTGAATACAAACATACACATAAATATAGGCATAGAGAAAGAGAGAGAATATCAGTCATATTGATTAGACAAGTAGAGCAGCTCAGTCAACACACAACTCACTCCAGAGGCAGTTGCCCTGCATAATAAATACTCAAGGCCTTGAATATTAAAAATTCTGCTGCTATATAAAATCTTTTGGGATCTATAGATAAAGAGTCATTCTTCTTACACTGCATGCCTGCTTCAAGCATACACATTTCGTCACTGTCACGCTTTCCTAAGTGATCATCGAGTGAAACCACAGTATCCTATGAGTGTTGGTTTATAGCTTTTTACTTACAAAAACACACATTCCGATTTTGGGAGAGTCGTCTTTGATTGACTGCACTTGCTATTTGTTGTTTAACATCTTAAACCAGCTGCTGGGGTTGTCACAGTGCAGAGGTCAGAGTGATGTAATGAGATGCAGGGATAAAGAGATGGATTAGAGGAGAGAGCAACCCCCACAGGGACACAGATGTAGTGATTACACCCAGATTAATGACACAGCGCTGCGTCACACACATGCACACACACCCATGGCATGTGCATTACATTCACAGAATTTAATGTATACTTTAATGCATACAGACACATGCACCCAAACAAAGAATCACAGATGGATTTATATTCAGACCATCAGCTGGAAATGGGCTCCAAAAACATATTTAGCTGCACTAAACAGCATTACTAATTTATACCTGTCTGACAAGTTGACTTTCAGCATGTTTTTTACTTGCATCAGGTATGCCACTTCTCTAGGTTGCCAGATCAGGCAGCATTATTCAAAGATGTGTTGGTCCCATGAGAGGCAAAGCCCCAAGAGGAGGAGAGTGCAGAGCTTCACATAACACTCCTCTCCGGGTACATTACCTGTTTTTTTCTTCCCTTTTCCTTTTCCTATCCCTTTCACTGCTTCACTCACTTCACACTTTCTGATTTACAGATTTGCCCTGCCTTCTCTGCTTTGCCTTAGCTAGCAGCAGTAAGGGAAAAATCCAGATGATCTACCGTGGGAAACATCACAGGATTATGGCTGGTAGGCATGTATTATACATACATAGAAATATGGACACACACACACACACACCCACACACACACACACACACACACACACACACACACACACACACACACACACACACACACACACACACACACACACACACACACACACACACACACACACACACACACACACACACACACACACACACTGGTGCTCACACTGCATTTTCATGACACTGTATGTGTGAAAATCAAAGATCATGGACAGACAGATTACCAAATACAAAATGGTCAGTCTAACCCCTCCTGGTGATGGTTGTTTAACGCACATACTGCTGAGGGGGGATACTGTACCTCAGAGACAGCTGTGTCAGCGAGATAACACAGAGCATGTTGACACGATGCTTGTGTGTGCAGTCTGTTCATGTCTATGTAGTTTCAGATTCCCTTTATTTATGTTGTGTATGTATGTTGTCCTCATATCTATTTGGGAAAATACGCACCTTCGAAACTGTAGTCCCTTTTGTCCTTACCAGATATGCATGACAAGCTAGTTCCTGTGCCTCTACTGATGATAGTTCCCCTTTGCTTATCGGATCTTATTGATGTGAAGAGTATTGTATTTTATGTTTAACCTTCACTTTTTGCACCTTTGTGCTGATAACATCTAGAGATAAAAACGAAGGCTTGCTCGGTACGACCGAATAAACGGATTGTAAAGATTCTTAAAAAATAGCCAGGGTTTCAAGCAAATCCAGCTAAGGGAATATTTTGGTGTTATTACAAGCACTTTGAAGTGATAGAGGACTGTAATAAAGATCTAAATGAAGGCTGAGGACGTAAATCCAGAATATTAACAAAAATGTATTTCCCAGAGGCTTTAATCTGAAGCTTATGTGTCAGAATGGAAGAGAGTTTATGAAGTGAATGGTGTGAAAGCAAACACATTTAGCATGCGGGGTGTGCTCAATATGTATAAGGTTAGCCTTTTATATCACTGATAACAGAAAATCAAAGGGAGAAGAAAAAGAGAGAAACAGACACATGTCTTTTCATATCTGCTGGGCTTTCCTTCTGATTTACACAGACATACTCATCAAGGCTAGTATGCAAACGCAAACACATTTAGCAAAAACACCAGCACATACACACTGTGCACACGCTGTATACTGTGCACACTGAGTGTTACTGGCTGTAAAAGGCTTGTTTACAGCCTGACCTCCATGTTCATTTTCCTCTGCCTCATATCCTCCCTTTCCTCACTGACATTTTCTCTTGTAATAAAGCGTTCTGGTGCATTGGCTCCTGATAGAAACAGAAGTGCGTGGAAAGGCAACTGGAAAAAAGGAGAGGCGTTCCGGTAGAGGACAAATGATAAGCACTGTCATCTTCACACTGTGACAGAAACATTGCAGTGGCCTTTGACCCTTTTCTCTCTTTGAAGATCAATGAATTGATTTATAGCATTTCAGTACACGAAATTGGGCTCTTGAACCTTGAAATGTATGATGTCCAGAAGAAATATGTGCTGCTCCAGACTATCTTTGTTTTTAGCATCTTTTCCGAAATGGCATCTATCTGAGGTTTCAGAAGTTACATCCAGCAGGCAAATGCCAGCTGCAGTCCCAGAAGATCAAAGGCACTTTTAATCCCACCTAAAAGGCCCTGTCGCATACATAAGAGAGTGATCTATAAGTGGCTAAAGGGACCATTAGGGACCCAGGGGCCAAAATAACAGTGTTAACCTGACCAAAGGAGAGCGAGAGCTTTGAAGAGGAGGGGAGCTGAACTGGTTCAGAGCCTGTTGCTATGGTAGCCATGTGGAATAAATCAGCAGCGTGAATTCTATTCTCAAATGCCTTCAGCACCCCACCGACTCAGGTAGACCAAGGCAGAATATGAATGAGCATCATATTGGATTTTTGTATTTGATTATTTTTATTTCCCAGCATATGGTGCACAATTTGCAAAAACCACATTTTAAATATCATGTTAATTGTGCCGATCAGTTAAATTCAAAGTGTTGAATAATTATGAAAATGTTGGTTTATTCGAAGTGATCGCTGCACACAGCTCTCTCACTCTTTTATGTGTGTGGACGTAGACTCGGTACACTACGTGATTATTGATAGTTACAACCAGATGACAACATGAAAGGGTCGATCCGTCTTTTTTTAATGGCAGGTATTTATAAGGGGCATAGCAGACACAACATTTCCAACCTCAGTCAAAGCTGTTAGTTGAGGAACATTCCATTTAACCCCATTATGAACACATGGAATACAACAAGGGCAGACTCTACAGTGACACAATTAAGAGATAAATAAGGCACAGCATGGATATCTTTAGCACAACTGCTACAATTCACTGAAGCATCAGATTGTTTGATGTGTCCGTCATCTCAGATGAACTGCATATTCATGAAACTGACTCATCAGTTTTTAAGGGCATGCTTGTATGGTCATCCTAAAAATGCTCTTAATAATAAAGTAATGTGGTGTTCTACATGTCTATTTTGTAGTGGCGATTATGAATCCCATGTGCAACACAATAACAAACAACCAAAAAGAGGACAGACTGGTTTAAGAGGGGTGGAAGGCGAGGGAGAGAAAGAGTAAGAGAGAAAGTGAGAGAGGTTGGAGCAGCCAGCTGAGAAGGATTACTTTTTCGAATACACAGTTATTTACCAGATGTGCACATAAAAACACTGTAATATTTTTTGATAAATACAATATACAATACACACAATACTGTTGGTACATTTGACCCCAATTGTGTCAATATAAATGTAGACACTTAGAATTACAACAATACATACGGATCAGCCTACTTTTCATCTACAGTTTTCACAAGTGCTTAGATAGTAATTATTTCCATTGGGGGCATAATTATAATAAAACATGCCTCAAATACCCATATTAGTGGCATTGCAACATCTTACTGTATGCATTGTGGTCAATATAACCACACCCACCACAGCTGTGACCACATTACTGTATATCAAATTAGCAGTATCATTAAACTCAAGGCATTTTTCACTGTACAAAAACAATAACACTACATTTGCCAGTTCATGTCATCTAAAAACAACTACAGAACTCAACGTAAAGACCAAGAAAATAAGTTATCATAGTACAAAATAAAAGATTAAAAGGCCTTTAGCTTTATCATAGTTTTCTCTCTTAATAGATACACTAAGAGTTTGTCATATTGAGCCATTGAAGGAGAGATGGGGCAGTCTCTGTGTGCGTTGGATCGGGCTGGGTCAGTCCACAGGAGTATAAATATTATAATTTTTCTCTTCAAGTCCGAGGCAACATCGCCAAACAGTCGTCCGTTTTTTCCCAGGGCCTCTACTCTGACTCTGACATTTATAGTATTTACCCAGGGTCTGCGCCACATAATCAGAAAACACCACACACATAGGGCAAAATGCTGCTTTTTCAATGAAAACATCATGATTAAACTACTGAATGATATGTAATGAAGCTACTACAGCTATACAGCCTGCTACTGTTGTTTTTCTGTTGCTGCTCATGTTGTAAGCAATGTTAAAACCTTTTACATGGTGCAAACACAGAGTGACTCTGACCTTTAGACTGTGTGTGTGAGTGTGTGTGAGTGTGTGTGTATGCAGTCAATCTCTGCTCTCCTCAGGCGTCCAAGGTTTGCCTGGGCACTCGGTGGGAGTTCTCCTCTCTTTTTCCTTTCCCTCTCTTCTCGCCACCTGGAGAAACATACTTCCTTTTGCCCTTTTTACGTTTTTTATCGGAGCACCACACTCTCTCGCAGTACTCCTCTACTCTCTGGGCATCCCCGTAGCCAATCAGCTGGAGAAACTCCTTGTACCACAGCCTGGAGTGGGGGCCTGGGACTGAGGATGGCACCAGGGCCCTGGGGCTGCTGCTGGGGCCTGGTAGGGGGCCCAAGAAGAAGGGGCATGGAGCTGCAGCTTTCTCTCCGTCCCCATCATTAGCCCTATTGATCGCCGACTCCACCCTCTCCCCTCTGAGCACGTGTAGAGAGATACGTAACAATGTGTGCACATATCCATGTTCGGCAGTCTGGCACACGTACACACCAGCATCGGAGCTTCTCACTCGTAAAAACAGCAGCCCGTGGGTGGTCATTATAACTCGCTCATCACCTCGAACCTAAATGGAGATAAAAAAAGTGAAACTATTTTTTTTTTCTAGCCATTGATGTAGCCGTTATTCAAGTCTAGGCATTTTCACTGCTACATTTGTTCCTAAGCCCAAGAGGGACCTACAGAACTAAAGTATAATTTAAGAACGGTAGAAAGTCAATCGAGCACTCAATACAGTGAATACTGTGAGGAATACAACCATCCCAAGTTTCCATACATAATGCAGCTTTTAATATAATGTTACATTCAAAATATTCAAAGTATAAACATTGAAATATTTTCTGATACCTTTAAATGCATATCCACCATCCCGGTACAATGAATCCTTATTGATACATTACATATAAATCCCTTTTAACATCTCTTTCAAGAAATAATGTCACAGACACTTGGGAGAATCCAGAAACCTCACTATGTGAATGTAATTCCGTTCACCACAATTGCACTGAAGTAGCAGGGTCAATCTGTCTATCCGGACAGATTTATAGGGGTAAGAAAAAAATGTTGTTCTGGGTAGAGGTCTGCACAAGAGGAATACATTGGGATAAACTAACCTAAAATAGGAATGTACTTACTCATACATCACCTGTACTCTGCTACCTATTAGTGGAGGTTGTATGCAATCCCCCTTGTTAGCAACATGGCCAAAATACATGCCCCTTGTTAACCTGCCAGCCCCCTCTTCAGCATCTAGTAGGCTGTTAAGTTAAATATGTTGGTCTAGTCTGCCTGACTCATTGATCCTTTATCTGATGGGGGTGCAGAAGTTATGGCCTTAAACTGTGTGCTGTGTATTGATAAACACATGGGGCTGTGTGTAGTGATGAAGTAGCAGTGGGGTGGTGGGTTTGTAAAAAATACAAAACCTAAAGAATCGTTAATGTGGCGTTGCTAGCTGTTAAACAAAACAAACTCGGTTGGCCTTCTCTGTTAAAAACAACAGATCAAATAATATTTTTTTTTGTGTATCTTTTTGTAAAACTCACCTCATGTTTCTCTTCGTCTTTCTGTAAAAACCAGAGGACCTTGGCCTGAAGTGATCGAGGGACACACTCGAGTAAAGTGCTGTTGCTCTCCACACCGTAAACCAGCCTCTCCTCAGATCTGGGTCGTTGTTCATCTATACACACACACACACACACACACACACACACACACACACACACACACACACACACACACACACACACACACACACACACACACACACACACACACACACGCACACACACACACACACACACACACACACACACACACACACACACACACACACACACACACACACACACACACACACACACACACACACACACACACACACCATAAAAGATAGTGAGAAACAAGAGATTGGAAAGAACTCACTTGACCTTTCATTAGCTGACACAAATAGAGTGTTTGGTTCTTTCCCAATCTATCGCCTCAGCAGAAGCACACTAACCTCTCACATCCAACAGCAATCACACATGAAGAGTTCATATTTTTTCATAATCAGGCAAGTGCTTCTGAAGAACTGCATCATTCCCTTGCTTGCAAACAGTAATTGTTTGACATGTATTCAGATAACAGTCAAATACACACAAGCATGCTCATGCACACACACACATCACACAGTCATTTTATACTAACCATCAATTTGCAGCCCATTGCACAGCTGAACGGCGTTGCCATGGCGAATATCCTGCCGCCTGAATCGTCTGCTGGGATGGGAGTGAGGGAAGTAAAAAAGAGAAAGTCATTTTGAACATGTGATGGAAGTGTGAGAGATGGGTGGAGAAAGAAAAAAGGAAAGAAAAAGAAATCAAAGAGAGAGAAAAAGATAGAAAGAGGGAGGCGTGATCAAGTGAATACTGATTGGCATTACACAACACCTGGCTGTCATGTCTCTTACAGACTGTGATAATGACTTAGCAAACCTCAGAGCGTTGTGACATTCAGAGCAAGATGCTGTGATGAAACAGAAAAGCTGGTAAAGGTGTTAACAGCTGTTATCACACATACGCACAGAAAAGATGAGTCTATCTGTGTGTGTGTGCTGTTACCTTTTAGGGTAGACTCCAGCAGGGTAATATCTGGAGCAGGTTAGACCATCCCATGCACAGTAGGGGTCTCTGGCCAGACAACAGTCAGCACATTCTGAGCCGTAGAGGTCACACTGATGCAGTCTGACCTGGGCCACACCCACCTCCGACCCCACATACAGCTGTTGCTGTGGAACCAAAAGCATAGAAGATGAATATAAAGGCAGTTGAATTGGGTAGGCCTATGTTTATATATTTCAGCTGTTTTTACCTCATTTTAATTATATGGCCACAAGGACACAACATTACATGTAAATGATGTCAATACAAAGTAATAAAACGTGTTACAATGTTAACATCTTGTGGTTAAACAACAGAATTGCATGAACAACAGTATACATTCAAATGGTCATCTTACCCTTTTAGGTGATATTATGATTTCCCTTATTGGGGCTGGCACCTGCAAACAGAAAAACATGTAGCTGTTGATGTTGAGAATTATTCTTCGAAAGCTAAAAGTAAAAAGTAACAAGTGCTGACTCTAAGTTCTTTATCACTGAAGGCCCCCCGTCATGCTTCTATCCATTTCAAATCCGACCTTAATTAAAATTGCAGCAGCAACTGCTTGCAGTCTGGTTTTCAAATGTATCCGATATTAATAGAATGTATGTATTCAAATCGTTCCAAAGATCTCTCACAGCAGGCCTAATACCCAATCATTCTTGTTTCCCTCTGATAATGGAAAAAAAGGAAATCTGCTTAATATGTAACTGCAGCAATAATGGAAGGTTATTTTCTTGGCAGTACAATTCAGAATTTGCTTGGTTACAAAGTCTACTTGGCTTTCACATTTATCAGCTAGAAATAGAGTACCTTGAATACTTGCAGCTCTTCCAGCAACACCTCCTCCATAGAGTCTGTGTCTTTGTTGTAGATGGTGATAACTTTCAACACCACTGAGTCGTCTAACAAAAGAGGACATTTTTCTTATGAAAAAAAGGTTTAAAAGGCAATGAAGTAAAACATTTCCTTCAAAATCCCAGATTGAAAACTGTCTCAGTGTATGGAAAACTGTTTTCACTTATACATTTGAAATGACTTTCTGCTAACAGAAAGACAATTTCAATGGCAAAAGGGGTGTTAGTGCACCCAAATGTTGAAAGTACCTCCTGTAAATCTGTTATTTTGCCAATAGTATAATTTCAAGCAGTTTTTAGTGACTTTGTACCGGTTCCGATGTAGAGAACATGGTAATGTCCGTCCTGGGCTTGGACTCTGTCCACAGCGATCTGGGTCAGCTTCCTCCTGCCCTCTGTCTGCAGCAGGACAGGTCTTCGATGCTGGGGAAGGACTGGACGATACATCACAGGATGCGAACGCACAAACCGCAAAACCTCATCAGGAAACTCCATAGAGCTGGAGAAGCCACCACCGTTCACTTTACTGGCACACTGTTAACGAGATAATGTGACAGAAAGAGAGGAAGTAAAGTAAGGACAGAGACAGAGGGGGGCAATTAATTACATTGGCCTTTTATGCAGCATAGAGAAAATCTGACATACTTTAGTCTGGCTCAGACTGTCCCTGTATGACCTGCTGAGGTGGCTACAACAGTGCTGACATTTACCCGAGATGTCCTACATGCTTTCATCGCTTACCCTCACATAAGGACACAGAGTATTGGGGAGTGCTGTGAATGCATGATTGGTGCTTAGGAAACAATATATGCTTTAACAATACTTTATTCAGACTTTTATACTCACAGATCCAGGTCGAGGGTAGGGGACTCTACCCTCATAAGGTGTCCAGTGATGCTCAGGCCTCTCTCGGTAAGCAAATGGACCGTTAAAGGCTGCTCTTATATCATCCATGTGATAGACACACACTGCAAAACCTTTAAACACCGCACTGTAAAAGAAGGTTTGATACGTTATTTGAGGGATAGTACAAATTGGACTGTGATTAAATGCAGACCTCACACTTCATGTACCTTGTTGTGCTAAATAGGCCAAAGATTTCTGGGTTTTTGCCATCCTTGTTCTTGAGCACAAACACATCCTCTGAAACACAACATTTAGAAATTAGCTTTTCTTTGTTAGCAACACTAGTTTGACATTTGAGTTTTTCAGATAAATGTTAAGGAAAATTCGACAAGGTCAACATGGTGAACATTAAATGTGCTGATCATGAGCATTTTAGCACTGTCATTGTAGGCATGTTAGCATTCTGACATTAGCATTTAGCCCGAAGGCACTGCAGTGCTAATGTTACAGCTTCACACAGCTGCTAACATGGTTAAGGCAGTTTATTAAGGGACAGGCAGACCATTAACAGGTTTTTGATTTCAAGGTTTTAGGATTATTCAACAGATTTAGAAAGAGGTTGAATGTTTTTATCCTGCAGTACACAGACAGATAGCCTTTTTTATTTTTTTTAAATAGAGGGGCTTTAGCTCTACACCATCTGGCTGTAGCTACATCTTAAGGAGACAATCAGGAGTGTGTTTTGCGTTGCTACAAAAAATTGGTAGTATTACTGCTGCAGGTTGAGCTCACAATACAACAGGTACATTACTGTCAAGAAAAGAACCCTCAACGTTTAACATACAATTATTAGGAAAACATGCTTAGAGTTTCATGTAGCCCCACCAAGTTCATCAAAGTGTGTATCAATGCCATTTGGTCCAGCCACAGAGCAGATAAGACGAGTTTTCAGGAAGGAGCTCCATCTATTCACCAGCATTCTCTGTCCTCCTTGGTCATTCTGACAGATGAAGGCAGATATAGAATGTGAGTGCAATTCTTGGGCTTTAGCTGGATAACGGCCAGAAATCTTTTTACAGCATTGGCATTCTCACCGCACAGATTCGCCCAACACGAGTATACACAGCCTTGTTCACTCCTTCAGCATTCATCTCTCGCTCAGTGAAGAAGAAGTACACTTTATCATCATCCCTGTCATCGTTGTCTGGAATAACTGCCGACCCCACAAATTTAGGTTCTGCAGGGAAAATCATTTGTCAGAAAATGTACAATTAATTCAAACCATTTTATAAGCTTTTAATTTCAATTCATACTCATTTAAGGGTTATAAGATAGGCATTTCTTAACACAATTGAATATGTATGCAAATATTATCGCAATTTCCCAGTACTGATTTTTGGAATATGTTTTGAAATATTATTGATTTATACATTTTTGAAAACATACTTTTTACCTCAAAAAAGGTATATTGGCACTCCATTGTATTTAAATTAAGATCCTTTTTTTGTAGTTTAGTAAACCAACCATTGAGTTGCTGCCTGTCGTCTCTTTCAGTGCGCGTGTAGGTCTGATTGTTCAGTCGGCAGAAAGCACCATCATTCTCCCAGTAGTCAGTGTAAAGACCAATATACAGCTCTCCTCCTAATAAGTGAAAATGCATATGTTATCAACTGTAAAACCAATTTTGCGGTGATTGAAATACATGCATTAAATATAGGACCACAAGATGGCAGTATTGACTGGTTAAAGGTAAACACTTTGTGCTCAACTGATGTTGAGAGTGACAGAGTGAGCAGTGTCTTACTGGAGAGTGTAGACGTACAGGGACTGTTAGGATCGTATGGACAGCGTCCTCTGCCACTCATGATGCTGTCTTCTTCAAGAGAAAACAGCTTATCCTGAGAACAAAACACATATATTCATATACAGGAATATGATGCAAATATGCTGGAATATGAATTCAGCCAGAACAAACATTTAGTAGCTGTTTCCTTGCAATTTCTTGAACACCAGGAGGTTGTGTGTGATAAAGAGATAAAGCTGAACGAGAGAGGAGGGATCAGGAAGTGATTGATGAGGAAGAGGAAGAAAGATTGATGAGACAAGAAGTGATGGATGACCAGACAAAGGAGTTTTGTCTGGAAGTGTATAACCCACTATGGCCTGCTCTTATATCATATTGAATTCACTACTCCTACTCTTCTGAACCTATTGCCCTGCACACCAGGTGGTGATTGCACACATACACCCCCCACACATATACATAGAGCTGAACTCTCTTTAGAATCAAAGCTCATATCTTTTCAGCCACCAGAGTGTTTATGACTGTCACTGGCAGATCAGAGGAAATGTCATGTATTGATTTATGAGTAGCCGTGGCACCCTACTGCGCTGTGACCACCGCCCGATCTACGACTGTAACAGAAGTCCAGTCTTGAATTAAACCCATCCATCATATAATCACAAAACCAGAAGAAAAATAGTTAAAAAAGGCTCACGTAATAGATTTTTTAAATGTCTAGGGCAGTGGCACAACAACTCTCAATTTGTTTCTCTGGGATTGGCAAATATGACAATAGTATTTTTTATCATATTTTATCATTATGGAAATATTATTCTGCTCAAACTTTATGGTAATCCTAGACTAGATGTAATCTCATACACCAAGTATTATAATTTGTCTGACCTTTATGCAACCTTGGAGAGAGATTAAGTGGCTTATACGGTCCCGGTTTTGCTCTCTCTAAGGGCATTCCAATGATATGAGTGATGAATGGTTCCTGTTTGAATGGCGTGAGTGGCCTTGTCGACCTACTGGACTAGTGTTGGAATGCAGGGCGGAAACCTTCTCCGATCTTTACACTCTAAATACACACACACACACACACACACACACAAACACACACACACACACACACACACACACACACACACACACACACACACACACACACACACACACACACACACACACACACACACACACACACACTGAGGGCTGTTCCATGTTCGGCGTATGTGATAAATGTGTCATACTAGCTATTTTGGACACCAGTGCGCAGGCAAAACACTCCTGTGCAACAGACACACAGAAAAACACATATTTGAATTGACCCCTGAGTGTGTCTAAGTCTAAACAAACCTCTTGGAGCATGCTTCAACAGAAAGGAGCACCTGGCCTGTTATCCCTGTTTAGCTGGACAGTAGATGCGTCAAATTGTTTCAAAATGAATGAGAACCTTGTGCAAAAACATTCTGTCTTTCTCTAAGAAAACCAAAACTCCACCCTCTCTTACTCAATGTCTTTTCCATATCCACCCTTCACATCACTCCTTGTTGCTAAGTAGTCGGAGTCCAAGCTGTACTAACAGTTTAAGGAGCTCCTGGCTAAAACATAGAAACAGTGTGAAAAAGGTTTTGGCTACTCCAACAAAACACTAAAGTGTCGAGGAGAATTACACAATGTAAAATAAATATGCAACAATTCCATTGGAAAACATCGTTTTTTCCACCAGTTCTTTGCAGTGAAAATCTGGAGCTCACAAAAGGCAACCACTGATGCAGTTCTTAAACCAGGAAAAGAAAGAAACACCAAAAGAAATGTCCACCGTGGATCAAGTCATTTCTGGGGAAATATTTTCCAAGGCCCATAACTTTGACCCAGTTTATCAGTTTATACTGACCTCACTGAGCACAGGCACCTGTAGCCTTGGCTGCTGTGCTCTCAGTGTTTTGACTCCCTGTTCCTGTCTGTTGGCGTCAGCTGATAGAGGTGTTATGCTTCTATCTTGTTATGCACAATGTTGATTATTCTCTCAGAACTAGCTAAATACATGGGTCTGGGGTAGAGATCTTGAGAATTGGTTTGGCATCTCAACCTGTGTCAACTCGTGGCTCATGACATGTCTTGTGAATTCTCCGGCCGAAGCTCCAAATAAACCGTCAGTGTTTGCCATCAAAGTTCCAGCTCTCCTCGTGTCTCTCTGAGTCCTGTTTCCAATTGCTTCAGATGTTTTCCTCACAATATCAAAGTGCGGTTTGACTTTGAAAATATCTCTAGATGGGGGAAACCTTTCGGTACTATTTGAATGTTTGGTTGTGAAACTTTAATGCTGTGTTAGGGACTCACCTGCCCTGTGTGTCCCACTCTGACCAGGACACAAACTGGGTTAAAGGCTCCCGTTCCACAGACCAGCAGATGGGTCTGGTTGTACTGTTGCAGGACCTTGATGTAGTTAGCACACTCCGACTGTTGGAAGAGATACAGACTGCAGTGGGTGGGACGGAGGGTGGTTGGGTTAGGGGTCATGAAGACAGATTGAGGACAAGCGGAGAAAATATTGTAGCGGAAAAATGCCAGGCTTTTAACTGCCTCATCAATACATCAATACTTCAGGTTGAACAGAGGTTAATGAGCACAGTAAGATATGTAATTTAATCCACTCATGTTGGCAGCGTCTATCTATATAATTGACCTATCTTTCTAGAATAATTTTAATAAACTGTATATATAAATGTAATTTTTAACTGAGAATTTGAGCTTTTCCCTTGATAATCAATGTAAGCCACACTACCCAATGCGCAGCTGAGAACATATTGGTATACAGTCATGAACTGGATGTCCCTTACCTTTTCCCTCCCCTTCATCAAACACTCCTCAATCTGAGATTCTGTAGTGGCCCACTGGATCTGTGAAAAAAAAGTCAAAGTCAAAATGACCTATTATAAAAAATGGCATTGACATTCAAACATAGATGTATAGTTAAACATGTGACCAGGCAGTCACTATCCACTACTGCATAATTATCTCTCAAGGGTATCTTGCCATCTTTTTAGTTTCTAATTAAAACATCTCACAGACATATGAAGAGGCAAACGTGCATCCATGTTTGGCTAACCTATTGCCCTATGGCAAGTTTGGTGAGTTCAAAATGTCTAATTTCCTGGGAGGGATGAAAACAGGCCCACCTCTCTGTGGTGTGTGTTAACCTGGTCCAGGCTAAGGGAGAACAGAGTATTCTTGGCCCCAACATACATCCTCTCGTGGCTCTCATCCAGCAGCATGGTCTGGGGCTGAAGAGACGCTCCATGTGCCTGGAACACCCAGGTCCTGTTCAGCTGCCAAAGCTCTGCAGGCAACAACATGAACACAAAGAATTAACACAAAAGTATAGCAGCAAAGTAGAAACCTGCAATTTTACAATTTAAGCTATGGATTTACAGAGTTTTCAATTCATTTCAAACTGAAATCCTCATTTTCTTCTGTATAACCAGCAAGATCACGTTTGACCAAATCCCAATCCTCAAGGGATTCTTACTTCTCCAGTAACATGTGCCCCAACTTCTCCCATGGCCAAGGTCACATTACCACATGTGTTTCTGATTCACTGCTTCCCCAAGGGAACGGCAAAGAGCAGCAGCATTGCTATCGTCCCATCTCATCCCTCCCTCTCATGTGGCACCTATGCCTCCTTTCATTCAATTTAGATGCGCTTTATGTGTCATTCACTAAAAAAAGTCTTATTTTTATATTCCAGACTTTTCCAGACTATTCATTAAAGGTTTATAAGGCATAAAAGAGTGTCATAGTGCATAAAAGAACATGGGTAACCGACATTTCAGGCATTAGTACCTACCAATAAATTGCCTTAAAGACTCCTGAAAGGAGAACTGACAGGACATAATGACAATTTGTAAAAGCAGGGTTGAACAAAGGGGGATATGAGTCTTGGGAAAGATGTTGTCATGATTTGGAGGGACATTTGATGTGCAAAGCATGGTCTATCGTCTCTTAAACCGAGAGGAAACAGTTTTATCTCACAGGAAACGCAACAAGTCTTTTTATCAGCAGTTATTTTGATATAAGCCGTCACTCCCTGTCAGTCTTGCTTAAGGTAATTTAAATCGACATATCTGTCAAGATCCATTGCTTCCTTTTTAATACAAACACACACTGATCTGAATGATCCCATACCAATAGATAGTCTGAATGCACATGTGTGAAACACCCAGTTGAGTGTACCTGATTGAACATGACAGGCTACTCCTTTATACCTGCTCTCTGAATGCTTCTGCTGAGGTTGAGGGTGAAGGATTTTAAACAAAAAGCCTTGGAGTACTGCACTTCCTCTGGATTTTAATGGCCTTAAAAACCTTTCATTAACACATGACCGCGTTGGACCGGGTGTCCTTGTCAACAATTATTAAAGTAGGGATCTGGTCTGTGTTAGCACCGCTTTTCCAACCTTAGACAGATTCAAATAGAGAAGCCTGAGTTTTTGGATCGTATTCATAGCACCAGCATTGCACAGGCTGTATTCTCTCAATTTGTTATTTTCATGCCTACATTAAGCTGTCCACATTCTACTCTTAAGAAAACTCCCTTTAAATGAAGAGAGGTGAAAAAAAGAGACCCCTGCATGATTGTAATACTATGCCAACCTTACAATACCTCAAATAACGCTGAGATGTCTCTACATACTAGGGTAGCAGGGGGCAATTGTATGATTTGTTTTCCTAGCATCTGTATATTTTGAGGGATACTTGATCTCCAAGAAAGAAGTAGAGAGTGTTTATCCCATTTGTGCAGATTAGTCATAGTAACAGCCTACACTCGTAGAAGTTGTGTTTGTTTAACATAGGATTAGGTATCCACAGAGGATTGGTCGACTTGTATATTTTGTTGGCTATTAGGATTTCTATGTTGGAGACAAGCCACTGTTTGTTTGAGTAGCATTAGATCTCTGCGGTTAGGTGGCAGAAACTGAAGGGATGTGGCAGTGGTGTTCTGCCAACGTTCAGACATGCTTCCTGTAATTATCTAATCCACACACACTTAGAGATCTTTCTCTCTGTCTCTCTCTCTCCCCCCCACACACACACACACACACACACGCACACACGCACGCACGCACGCACGCACGCACGCACGCACACACACACACACACACACACACACACACACACACACACACACACACACACACACACACACACACACACACACACACACACTGTCTCGCCTCTCTATCTCCTCACAGTCCCCTCTGAGTATAGCTCAGCTTGGATCAAGGACAGTCCTCTAACATTTCACTCCAACTTTTCTACAAGTGTTAGACCAGGCTCTCAAACAATCAGCTCCTTCTTTAGGTGGAGTCAAATCTGCTACCACTTATTTAGATGACAGACGTAAACGGATATTTAAAGTGATGGAGTAAACAGTCCATAAGCTAAAGCCTTTTTTCCGTCTACTTGTCACCTGTCTTTGTCAATAATCCTGAGTGGCAGCTGATTTATATGGACACACGCTCACTGCCAGATTCCTGCTCTAGCTGTCTCTCGCTATATAACAAACAAACAAAACTGCAGATAGATTTAGTTTTATAATTTTTTGTCACATTTTTAAAGTTGATACCTTGTTTGTTTTGTTCGAGGAGAAAGTAGAAACTAACAATAACCAGCTTGAAACTTAAAAAAGAAGAAGAGGATGAAAGAAAGCTAGAAAGTATATCCAATATGAAACTATAATCATATTTATAACAAGATGTTGATAAATCGGCTAAATTGCACATAATGACAGAGTTACTATAAAGCACAATTGGTGGATGTGATCACACTGACAACCTGAAAGACGCTTCAGAGACACAATGCTGTTTAAGAGGTTACTCCTCTGTCATTATATGTGCACAAGTTAACGACACATGCAGCACTGCTCCGCCTGAAGAAGGGAAAGTGGGGATTTCCACAATCCCCCCTCTCCTCCTGCTCTCTCTTTTTTCACGCCATCTGCAACCAGTGAGGGCTACTTAGCCGTCAGCTAAGGAACTGAGAGGAGGAGGAGGAGGGTGTTTCTCCATCGGCAACTGAGCCAGGGAGACACATGGCCTCCACTGTGATCCCACTTCAAATGGAAAACACAGAGAAAAAGGACGCCCTCAAGACACGCACGTTCCTCGGCTGTCTGAGGAGTGCTGAGAGATGCCCGAGAAGATTTGGTGAAGTGAAATCAAAATAAACTGTGTGATGTCCTCCTTAAAAGGAATCACCAGTGTGTGTGTGTGTGTGTGTGTGTGTGTGTGTGTGTGTGTGTGTGTGTGTGTGTGTGTGTGTGTGTGTGTGTGTGTGTGTGTGTGTGTGTGTGTGTGTCCAGTCACAACCTACTTCTATCTACGTCAATGTTTAACCAGGAATCTGGAGGATTTCATATACAACGTTCCTCAGGAAACTTGACACTCTTGCTCTCATAATGTAATGTGTTGCCAATATTAAGCACACAATTCATGTCAGACACACAACTTGTGGTAAGGAGTCTCATGTTTCCAGTGAAATAATCCTATATGAGTTACGGGCCTTGTGCTGAAACAAAGACAAAGACAATAATTGAAGTGGTGGTGCAGTTAAAGGGGTTAGGAATAAGGAAGGAGTCTGTGCTCCTGAGACTGTGGAGCCCCTGGGGGGGGGGGGGGGGGGGTGGTCTGGAGCCGGATCACTAGGGTGTTATGCTATTATCAGTATACAGCCTTGTGTTGCTTCATCCTCGTGTGTGTTTGGGGGGGAATGATGTCAAGGAGCAAAATGAGAGCCACATGGAGAGAGAGAGGGTAGCCTCTGTTTCTCTGTAATAAGCTCTGTGACCTGATCAACCACACATGTACATAACCTTGGAGCCATTATAAATTAGTTATTGATGTGAGTTACTGCGTGCTTAGCTATACAGTAAGTTAAAAGCTCCTTAAAGTTTAAAATGATTATCATATGTTCAATTATTTGTGTGGAACATTTAAAGCAACGTCATCACAAAAAACAATCTCTCAATTATTTAAGAAGCAAACAACCCTGAACAAATACAAGCCTGTGAACAGATAATGTGATGCATTGAAGCAATATCTTCTCGGCATGATTGTGTTTTGAAGCGCTCACTCCCGTATAATCCTTCATTCCTATTTCCCCCCCTCTCTTACATCATTGCAACATACTCTCTAAAGACTAAAACAATCTTTGTGCTTTCTCTCCTTTTCTCAGGTCACACATTTAACTCATCTCCTCTTCCTGATCCCTTCGCCGGGAAAAGGTCAGAAAGGATATTAGAGTTTCACCAGCTGCCTTCCCCTCTAGACATCTCATTAATGAACTGGAGAGCACACACATAACACAATGGGAGAGAAAAGGACGCTGAGATGTACATAGACAAAATGAAAAAGCGAGAAGGGGCGAGAGGGTGGGTGTGCAGGGGAGGGCTTGGAATATATCCTTTTTCCTTTGCTGACCTAAGAGGTGTGATTTATCTAATCATCCTCATAACCTCCGTTTTCCAGTGGTTTGATATAAGGTCTGTGACTGCCCTATGGCCGAGATCCAAAGTGGTAAATGTTAAATATAGGGTGCACATGTAGGCGGAAGACATTTAATGGGACAGCTCACTTTTCACATTAGCTCTACATAAAAAACATACAAATAAAAATCCCCCCATTCATTTTATTTCAGGCAGATACAACTTGAGGCCATACTGGTATTCCCCACTTCACCATCAGAAGACACTCATCTACAGCCACATCATTTCAAGGTTGTAAAATACATAGAGAGAGCACTTACTTGTCTGGAGAGGAAGGTTTAAAATTACAGCCCAAAAGGGGGGTTTCATACATACAGTAATTGCTACCTGAGTAATTCCTGTGTTCACACATGCATGTCTCTATGCCCTTTGTGCTGAAAAACTCACCATTTTACTGAGAGAAATGGATTTAGCATTTGTTGACCAATGTGTGCACAATTTAATTCATCGTATGTCATTTCGTTTTTAAGAATATATCCCAAACACACACACACACACACACACACACACACACACACACACACACACACACACACACACACACACACACCAACTGTACATAGCTGTATGAGTAAATCCAGCTGTTAAGTGCTTTAACCAGCTTTTGTTTACATTTACTTTGAGGTAAATGTTGAGTTGAAATGTGGAAAGCACATGTGTTTATTTATATAAGAGAACATATACAGTATGAGTTTAACCCTGTCAAAACAGCTGAACTTCACCTGATAACTTGATACACTTTCAAAGACCTGCTGAAGATTTTTTATTTTTACTATATCATTACTTTTACTTCATTATTTTGACTTTGAAATAAATACATATTTGGCAGGCATGCTAAAGGGATAACTGCTAATTTGCTAACTTATTTTCATGAAATGTTAACGGTGTTTACCAAAGATGCTCTCTTTTACTAAACTCAAATTAAAAGAGAGGCGAGCTTGACAAACTTGTTGTGCTGCAAACAGCTGCAAGAGCACACAGACTCTCCAACACAAGTACAAATGTAACGTAATATCCAACATATCCAACTTTGCCGAGGTAAGGACGTTTTAGAAGTGCATTCGATCTGATTAGGTCATCATCATTACAAAACTGCTGTATAACACACTCCACAGCTAAAGCTTGGTGTTATGTCAGTGCTGGAGAGGCAGCAAAATAAATCTAGCCTGGCCACCTACCTGCAGCCTGTCGGCACTTTGACACATGCTAGCTGTGCAACAGCTTCATTAGCAGCAGAATTGATGGTCATCCTAAAATAACAGCTCATTTCACTCCACAGGACTTGATATTTGAAGCTGTTGCCAAGAGCCTGATGATGCTGATCTAAATCTCATGGATTTGTGTCCAAAACCCCCAAAAATAGTACATAACAAACTTTCTGTTCCAGAGAGCATGTCTCCCTGTAGGGCATTTCTACGTATAATAACACAGGATTTAGGTAGTTTGGTTGGCAAAAAGTCCAAGAAATTGCTTGTGTTTAAGGACTTTGAAAGCTGCGTAGTAAAGGTTTAGGTTTAATGATCTCTAAAGACAGCTGTGAGCCAGTCGTTGTAACTCAATACTCTGTGTGATTTAGGTAACAACCTTTTGGAGCCTGAGTTAATTAGGGAAGTAAGCAAACTAAAGGATGACTGGGATGAAAGTGAATTGAATGCATTTGGAAAATATTCACTGGTCCAGAAGTCTAGACAAGACGATGGTGAATAGATGAAAGAGAGAGTAAATAATAATTCCACACCATGTGTGAGGTGTGGCTAACATCAAAGCATGCTAAGATGGCGGATGGTGGTAAGGTCATCCTTGAACTATGATAATGTGCCCAAAGGAATTAATTCCCAGAAGATAGGAGAAAGTCGATCTGATGTTTTATTGATCCGACATTGGTCTCTGCCTACAGTATGTGAACAGGAGCAGTTTGAAGACTCCCATATTATTCACTTTCATTTCACATTATTCTAGTTTTTCCACCCTCTTTTGATACCAGATGTTGTGGTTATATTTTCTTAGTCCTTAGGGTGAACAGTTTAAACCACATCCGCTCCATCTCCCTGAACTAAATCCAAGTCATTGACATGTGTGGAATTCACACTATTCTGCTTGTGCATGTGTGCATGTGTCTGTCTGTGTGTGTGTATGAGTTTGTGTGAACTTAAGGGTGTGTGCAAAAATCACTGGCAGAGCACATGAGGCATATATAAGGCTTAGATGTTTTTCATTCCATAATGATAGGATCCCACTGCAGCCGTCTCATGGCGCTGTCAGCCTCTGTGCTAGCCAGAACATGTATCAGCACAGAGAGTTGGAGAGAGAGAAAGGTGGAATGCCAATCACTGTAGCGGCTTTCCCCTCAGGCGGTTAATGAAATTGTGATATTCCTCCAGCACCTTAGTCGCGATCTTACCTAGTATTGATGTGGCATTGATGGCTTAGCACATCAGCACTGATCTGCTCACTTTTGATGATATGTGAGGATCATTACTGTGTGTATTTTTCTCTGAGTGTTTCCTTTAAATTCATTACCTTTCTACTTTAACTAATATTACTTTTCACTCTGAGAAGTGTGTTTTTATTGTTATTAGTTATTGTAAGACATTTGCAGACATTTGAGAAAAAAGGCATACATTACTTATCACAATACTTAAAACCCCCCCTTACAGATGTGTGTGATGGACCAGACTTGTCAACTCTCATAACGGACTCACAGCTCTGTATTTATGTATGATTTATTGACCATCTAAATTCCACACCTATACTCAACTGTGACTAACAGGCTTATGGGGAATCATCACCTTCTGTTGCTGTAGAGATCAGAGAAACTGTGAGAAAAAATGAATGTTTACTCAGGAGTCTTTATCTACAAAGATAAAACCCCCAGTATTGTCCCAGAGATACACAGCAATCTGTCGGCATACCAATGCATGCACATCCATATCACACACTCCGCATGCACGTAAACATGCAAACACGTTTCCCTTTTCTCTCTGTCAGACACATACGCAGCCTCATCCATTCCCCAACCGAAAAGAAACCCACCTCCATCTCCCTGCCACTATTGCATGAGAAAGCCACATTATGGATTCTCAGCCCGCATGGCAGAGGAATCAAAATAAACTACAGGGAGGCTCCTCCGTCGTTAACAGTGTTAACTCTACACCAACTTCTCAAAGTCAGAGCAGATGTGAGATCAAACGCTGCATGGTGACTTATTATTTGGCCCTTTAACAATAATACTCGCTGAAAGTTCATTATATGTAAATGATAAACTGTGGGCTGTTTGACTCACTCCAGCTGACAATACTATGTATTCTTTTTACACCACATTTTCCGTTTTTGTGCATTTCTGGTTGTATTATTATTTAAAATAAATTACTCATTAGTATATGAACATGTGCTACCAACTAGGCTTCCATTAAATATGCTAAACATTGAGAGTAGAATGTAAAAATGGCTGTTCAGTAAAACCTGCACTGAAGGCACAGACAGGGAATGATAATTTGGTTCAGAGCTGCATCGACTCTTCCTGACAGTTTATCACACTATACTGCATCTCCAAAATACAGTCTTCTGGAGATTTGGGCAAACATAGCAATTTTGTGCCAATGTAATACAAAGTAATACAAGTAACACACATTAGGTAGAGTATTTCTTACCGTTGTGGGAAAGCCGTATTCTTGGGTAGATGCTTTGGGCAGTGTGAGCCGTGCCCAGCAGAACAAGATACAGCAGCATCATTGTGAAATACACAGTCCTTATGCACTCTGCCATCCTCTTTAATACACACACTCCACGTTTGTCTACACAGGTATCCTGCAAGTCCAATAAACACGGACAGTAAAGTCCATGAAAAGAAAAGAAGTCTTCACTGCAAGTTCCTGCAAACAGGTTTTATTAGCAGAAAGCAATCCAACAAAAGTCTACTTGGAGGTAACACTCCATTATCTGAAGATCACCACAGTGTGGATCAACTCGATGTATCTCTGCAGCTTCTATACAGTCTCTGCTTTCCCCTATAGCAGTGTGATGAGAGCTGCATCCACCCACTACCTCTGTGGACAGGATAGTGCTCGGGTTGTTATCCTTCTTTTAGTCTTAGTAACCACAGCGAAGAGAAGTCCAGTTGCTACATTCACGCCGCAGTGCCCACTGCTCTCTGTCCATATGTCAGTCCGTCTGTTTGTTTGTCTGTCTTTATGCCCAGTTTAAATCCAGTCTTCCTTATCTGTTGATAGAAAGAAAAAAAATCAAGTCTGTGAATCCCACAGAGGTGTGTGAGCTGATTTGTAAAAACTCAATGCATTTGTGTGTCCCAGCAGGCAGGCAGGCAGGCAGGGCTGGAGCTGCTTTACTGTATCCTCAGGCTGCGTTCCTCCTTTTGGGTCCACTAGAGCCAGTCATTCTTTGGACGCTAGCCCAGGAAAAGGCAGAGTGGGAGAGGGGAGGAGTAGGGGAGCCTCGTGCCTGGCGTGCAGTCCCTCTGCACTGGGGAGGAAAGTGAAGCTCTCCTAACTCTGCACACTCCCACGGTCAGGGAGGATCCAAACCTCAGTGAGTCAGTCAAGTTGGTTTCTACCACAGCTACTGATCTGAGCAGAGGCCACCTGCCCAGTGGGGTGTGCCTGAGGAAAAGCCTATGTGTGAGTGTGTGGTTGGTAATGAGGGGAGTGTGTATCAGCTCCAAGGGCTGCAAATTGCCTGCTCCTTCTTTCTAGATTGTCTTGAGATCTCGCTCTCCCTCCCAGGCAGCTGGATTAAGTGTGCTGTGTTTCCCAGGCAGGCTCAGTTAAACTCTCCCCAGCTCTCCTCTGAGAGAAGTACTGCCTCTCATGTCACTCTACAGACCACCCCTTGCTTCTCCACACCTCTTTCCCTCCTCCTTCAGCACTTTCTTGTTGCTCCTGCCTCCACTGCATTAACATAGACCTGAGCCAAGGTTTTCAGCCTCTTTATTCTGGCTCTTCTTTCATTTTCAATTATTGCTCTCTTTGTGTTTGTTTCCATGTGAATAGTCATTATCACTGTTACCATGGATTTTCAGTACAAGGTTTCTTTCATGCCCTGCTCATTTAATCTCTGCTTCTGTTTATCTACCAACCTCCCACAATCTTTACTTCTGTGAAACCTAGTAATTAAATTGTAATGTATCATTTCATGCTGGGATTTTTTACACTTTTGCCTGTGTGTTTCTGCTACTGTATTTTGTTACTGATTGTGTGGTTCTGTGTGAGTACAGGTATTCAGTTATCATATATATACTGTGTATAAATGTTGAACTCATTGATATGCAGTCTGCTGCTGTGTCCGTGTAGTCTTTTGTTTTGTCTCACGGTCCACAGCTTTCTGAATATGATTAGCAACCACACACTCAATAAGAAAAAAATAGACAAGATTTGACTGGAGTCATTATTGAATTTTGCACATATCCCACAGGAAAATCCCACAGGCGTCCAGTTACTTGAGTAGAGCGCTTTCTCTCTGTAATACATCTGTTTCTCCCTGTCTTTGTCTCTTTCGAATTGGCTGTGTGGTGACACCGACGTTAAGTCATGCTGATCCCTAACATAGAAACATTCCATCAGTCTGAAAAAGATACATTTCCTTTCTCAAATATGTGTCTGATTTAATTTGTGGTAAAAGTTTTTCTTATTTTGCAAGACAAGAATTTAACAAGAACACTTCCCGGTGGTAATCCTCACTCATAATTTAAATCCACATTGATTTACGGCAAATGTCAAAATGCACCAACACCAAAGCTTCATGCAGCATTATGTATTTATTTCTGAAAAAATAGAATGAAAAGGGGGAGGGAGATTTAGGCGCAGTGTGAATGTGAGTGTGAATATATACCCATCAAAAAATGGCCTGCCTTTGAATTAAGCCACACACAGTAATGCCAAGTTGGAAATGACTCCATTAGGCTGTAGCAGCTGCACCCTCACTCCCTTGCACCACCCTGAGATCTGATGACTTCAACTCCCACGTTGCACCTGTTCCCCGCCATAACAGAAGGACTTTGTGTTTGAGAAGGTCTCGTAACATACACTATCTCTGTTATTCCTTTGCCTGGTGCAATTATAGACTCTCATCTGTTGTTGAGGGTGAGACAACTGTTCAACGTCAGCTTCAGATGGAGCTGACATTATCTGACTGACTGTGACACACAATTTCATCAGTTCAAACCTAATAGCATATTTGAGCCTTGCATCCTGTTGAAAGGTGCGCCGGAAGATGTTCATTTCCGATCTCTTAAGCCCTTGCCTCAGATTGATAGCCATTTAAGGAGGCTAATGCACATCCACCAGTTGGCACAACTTCCACTGGCTCACATTGGCCCCACAGTGACTGAATGGGTCTCTCCTTCCTTCACCAAGTCTAATAGCAGTAATCAGTCAGAAATCTGCCTCAGACCAGAAACATCAACAGCTCAGTCCCCCACCTCCCGAATCAGTTTAAACCATCCCTCTGTCCCCGCTGCCCTCCCCTTTTCTTGATTTGTGTTAAACTTTCTGCCCCTTGATGTTTCCATTAGTATGATTCTGACAGTGCTAGCAGCTTGTACCAAAAGCCTTTCTATGCAGCACTCCTACACAGCAGCCACACACCTACTTTCTTTCCACCTCCATTGAAATTCTGTCCCCTCATGTGCGTCCCTGGGATTCCAACAATACCTCGAATTTTTATTCAGCATGTACTGCACTGCGGATTTATTTGCTCTGCACTACCTGAGCTCTGTAAACTCTGTCAACTTCTTAAGTTGCAACTTCAAGGTCACAGAATCTAACCTGCACCCTGTCACATCACTAAATGCAATCTTCCTTTAGCTGCTGTTTTAGAAAGCCGGTGTATGTGAAAATACTTTTTGATTGAGTGCTGATGTCTGGTGTTTGTTTGAATAGGCCATGTCCAAATGTCTGGCGGCTCCCCTTTCATGCTCTCTGAACACAGAAAATATTTTCATTCATGTTAATGCTGTGTCAATATCCGCCCCTGTTCAACAGAAGCCCCCCTCACCTCCTGTTTTGACCCGTAGAGACAGACACTCCTCCTGCCCTCCACCCTCCTAACATACACAGTGCTTATGTCAATGCAAGTGTTTAACGCTGCAGAGTTACAGTGTAAGAGAGCAAGAAAAAAAGGGAAATAATGACATCAAAAGCAAGATAGACCCAAGTGGGTGAGGGTTAGTATGTGAGTATGTGTAGATGCATTTATGCATTTATGCATGAAACAGTTTTTATGTTAGTGAGTGTCTGCCACTGATCACCTGCTGAGCTCCCCTCTGCTAAAGGGAGGTTACGTCCCTGGTCTCCCACGGCAACAGAAGCAGCAGTCTGAGGATCGTGTGTTTCAGAGCCACTAGATACTCAGACCGTTTACACAGGTGGCTATCATATGGCCAGGGAAGTTTGTCCCCACGGCACATACTGACCACAGAGACATCAGTCAGAATTTTAAAGTGGATCTTGTTTCCTTGCCATACATCAGCCAGCACAATATTTGATATCACTTGACTGTCTACACCAATGTTTATCGTGTTTGTGTGGTTTGTAAATTCTGTATTCTAGAGAGCTCATGTTGCATTGTGTGTGATACCATGCAGCGAGAGGGACTCACTGTAAGCCACAAACGAACAAATGAAGTGTGGGCCGCCTCCACTGAGAGGCCAGGTGTGTTATGTTTGGCTTAGCTGTCATTTCTAGGTAAAATAATTGAAAAAGTTGTTTTCCAACAGTTGAGTAATTACTTTCATTTAAATAACTGTTTCGATGTGTTCCAGTCAGGCTTTCGTCCAAACCACAGCACTGAGACTGCTCTTGTAAAGGTCTTCAATGACATCCACTTAAACACAGACAGTGGCAGAACTTCAGTGTTAGTATTATTAGATCTCAGTGCTGCTTTTGACACTGTTGACCACAACATATTACTAGACCGACGAGAAAACTGGGTGGGACTTTCGGAAACAGTTCTAAATTGGTTTGAATCCTACTTAAAGGACAGAAAAAACGTTGTTTCTATAGGTAAATACACATCTGAGTTGACAAATATGAGATGTGGGGTTCCTCAAGGCTCCATCTTGGGGCCTCTTCTCTTTAACATCTACATGCTACCACTGGCTCAGATAATGAAAAACTACAAAATAAGTTACCATAGCTATGCGGATGACACACACATTTACGTAACAATTTCACCAGGAGACTATGCTCCAATTCAAACAGTAAGTGCATTGAACAAATCAATGACTGGATGTGTCAGAACTTTCTCCAATTAAACAAAGATAAAACTGAGGTAATGGTTTTTGGAGCCAAGGCAGAACGTATAAAAGTTAGCACTGAGCTTCAGTCTGCAATGTTCAAAACAACAGATAAAGCCAGAAATCTAGGTGTAGTCATGGACTCTGACCTGAGCTTCAACAGTCACATTAAAACAGTTACTAAATCAGCCTACTATCACCTAAAGAACATATCTAGGATTAAAAGACTAATGTCACAGCAGGATTTGGAAGAACTTGTCCATGCTTTTATCTTCAGTAGACTCGACTACTGTAATGGTGTCTTCACAGGTCTCACTAAAAAATCCATTAGAAAGCTGCAGCTGATTCAGAACGCCGCTGCTCGAGTCCTCACTAACACTAAGAAAGTGGATCACATCACTCCTGTTCTGAAGTCTTTACACTGGCTTCATGTGTGTCAAATAATTGATTTCAAAATATTGTTGCTGGTTTATAAAGCTTTGAATGGTTTAGGCCCAAAATACATTTCTGACCTACTGCTAAATTATGAACCATCCAGAACTCTCAGGTCTTCAGGGACTGGTCAGCTTTCTGTCCCCAGAGTCAGAACTAAACATGGAGAAGCAGAGTTCAGTTATTATGCTACAAATATCTGGAACAAACTCCCAGAAACCTGCCGGTCCGCTGCAACTCTGACTACTTTTAAATCCAGGCTAAAGACTTTTATTTTTGTCATTGCTTTTAATTTAACTATTCATATCTTAAACTGCACTGTAACTTTTATCCATGTATTTTTTCTTTGAATGTTTCTTTTATTATCTTTGCTTTTTAATGACTGATTTTAAATGCCATTTTCTTAATGTCTTTCATTTTTTGTAAAGCACTTTGAATTGCCTTGTGTTGAAAGGTGCTATATAAATAAACTTGCCTTGCCTTGCCTTGCCTTAGCTGTGTCAGCTGAGTGCGAACATTGAGTATAAAACCCACCGTGCACACCTTCATGCATATTAAATCATACGTGTAACCACTTTTAACATATGTTAAAGAGAAGTAGAAAGAGGTCTGTATGTATTCTGTTACACTCCGTTATTTCCCCACATCTCCCCCACTGAGTGCCGCTAACCCACAGGTAAGGCCCTAGGTAGGTGCCCGTTTTGCATGAGTGTCCATGGCAACAAAATGTGGTAAATACATTTTCTCTGCCAAATATAATACCAGAAAGCTCAATGCATCATCCAAGCTCAGGTGGTCACTAAACCCCTATCAAAGACGCTATGAGGCCAGCATTTGGTTTTCTTCGCTTCCTGTGATTCAGCTCTTAGGGCATATATCTTAGGCAGTAATGGGAAACACAGCCCAGGCCAGTGTTATGCAGTCACAGATGGTGAAGAGGAGGAATGGGTAACGCCTCTGGAGTGATATGTGGAAGTGACCATCTG